CTTAACTGGATACTGACCTGCACTCCAAATATTCTTGAATTCCACCTTTACGCTTCAAGACTTCCTTAAATCTGATTTTCTCAAGGGAACCAGCTGCACGAGCTTTCAGCCCAGCCGCTACAGCTGCTGCTTTACCATATCCAGCATGTACAGTAGCAGATAATGAATCAAGTTTCTCTCTTATTTTATTATGGCTGACAAAATGTTCAGGGGCCTGCATAAGTACTTCCCAATCAATATCACCCTCATATGCCATGTCACCGTGCCTCTGCTTTCTGGCATTCCGTGCAGCTCGCTGCCCAACTGACAGGCTAGTTTCCTTGGTTTCAGGATCTTCTGCATAGCTTCCCTGATGATCCACCATCATAGATGAGCCAGAGGTCCCATTAATTCCCTCACTCTCAGGAGAGTCACAGCTTGGAGGACACACACCTTCACGTGATGCTCGAGAAGGTTCCAAGACATGTTCAGCTTCAATATCGACTCTGTCTGGCTCATCCTTACTCTTTTGCAGGACCACTTCATGTACCTTTTCTGAAGAAACTGGTGCAAGGTCTAATTCTTCTTCAGGGAATTTATCAAGGACTTTAACTGGATCGCCATGATCTCCAGATGGATGTTCGATCTGCATTTGGGTGGAATGAATTAAATCCACGTCAATATCAAGACAGCTGTCTAGTTTCACGTCATCACAAGTATTTTCAATGGATTCACATACGGGTGTTTCCAAATCCTTTGGCTCCATGCAATGATCAGTCCTATCATTCACATTAAAGATATTATCTGGAATCGGAGTCTCGTTTGTGGAACCTGGTGCTGGTTGGTCTCCTACATCATCAGCGTTAATTCCACCTTCTTCGACTCCAATGATCTTAACAGGGCATTGCCTCAAACTGGAAGGAGAACTTCCATGCACAGTAATCGAAGTTGATTCCTCCGAATTATTTTCTTTAGAAGAATCATTCACTGGTATCCCTTTATTTAAATCAGAAGCATTCCCTGGCGTACAATTTAAGACTTCTGAATAACGTTCATCGGGCAAGACAGATTTCTTGACAAATGTTGAATCCGACTTGGCTTTCCAAACAGAAGACTCTAAGCCAGCACTAAAATTCATTTTCGGTCCATCGTTCAATTCTCGGGTTTTCTTCCCCTTCTTCAATTTTGAAGAACCATGCGATTTCCCAGTCTGCATCTTTTGGAAAAATGCAGATAATGAATCCTCTGCTGCCACTCTGTCTGATTCTGAAGTACATTTTTCCTCACACCTCAATGCATCATCCCCAGATTTCTTCGGATGGACATCTTTGCCCGATTCAGAGTTTCCAGCTATCATGGTATCTGAATTAACTATGAATCTCTTGTTTTTCTTTTTAGCCTTCAGTTTCAAAACCTCCATCACGGTAGCACCCTCTGAAGATGCATCTTCAGTGCTATCCAGGCATCTTTTCTGCAATACATTAAACCCATTTAGATCCAATTCAGAGTCCTTAACAGACTCATCAAGAGGCAGGCCCGATGACTCCACTACATCGCTGCTTGATTCTTTTCCAGCTGCCATTGCAGATCTATCATTCTTTTTTGGACCCTTTAATTTTTTCCTGAAAATCGCCAACGTGTCGTCCATACCACCTAGTTCATCATTCTCAGGAGTCATCTTTCCGATCGCTTTCGAATGGTTTTCAACATCTGCAATCAGCTTAGTTTTCTTAGAACTTTTTTTGCCCTTTTTCTTCAGTAGTGTTCCAATAGGCTCGTCATCATCGGAATCAATCACCGTTTCTGCAAGTTTCGACTTTCTCTTCAAACCCATTTTCTTCTCCTCATCCATTCCCCTGAACCCTAGTGTCTCAATTCCCAATCTTCCTCCACATCAAACCCTGGCCCCAATCATCAATTCAACTCAATCACCAACACACCATCCCCTTGNTCTCTCTCTCTCTCTCTGTACATGAACTAAAAACTATTCAACCCATCATTTAATTTAATCAAAAAAAAAAGAAATAATTTTTCACCCTAACGATTCAAAGTTGAAACTAACTGTTTATATGAATCCACAACACCTCCATTAATTTTCCAAACCCATTAAAACATGCATACAACTGCCCAAAACCGACGGGAGAAATACAGGAAGGTAACAATGTCAAACCAAGTTTCCTTAACCTACCATCTTGTGGAGCCAAATTCTTTATCTATTGAATCAAAAACAACATACACAGTTACACACAAATTGAACAGGTAAATCAAGCCTAGGGCTTGCTGAAGAACTTTAGGGGAAAAATAAAAGTGGGTTTTCGCTGGGAACAAACCTGAGGGTCAATTGAAATTCCAGAGTTATGAGTGAGTCAGACCACCGCTCTGCGGGTGAGGAGCTGCCGCCTCGTTTGGTCCTTTAAGCCCTCCAAGTTACTTCTCCACTGACAAAACAGATGGTTACAAATCTGCAAATCAGTTTGCACATTCTTTCTGTGTCAGTTAAAGGGTAATCAAGAGTTATTAAACTTTTTGCCTTCAAATAAATTTTCTACAAAGAATCAAATGGGAGAAGGGTGTTCCCGTGCAGGCAGAAGATCAAATTGATTGGGTTGGTTCATAGGAACACTAGTGATACTCTTTTTAACCAATTACTTATTACTTATTTAGTGTTTTTTTTTTCTTTGTAAGGAAGATTAATAGCAAGGTTGTCAAAACCGGATCAGTCATCGAATCGGTCAAGCTACTGGTTCAATAGTTCTCTTGTCCGATCAGTGGTTGAACCGGTTGGACCGTTATTTATTTTATTAATATTTTTAAATATATATAATATTTCGTAGATATAGTTAACTTAACTTTTAAGTTATTTAATTTATTGATATTTTAAATATATAATACTTTATGAATATTAAATATAGTTGACTTATATTTTTTAGAGGAAATTGCACCCTCTACATCAGCTGCCCTAAATATATTATAAATTTACAACCGTTTGTTAAATATTTATGTAATTACCAAATTAAGCATAAATTATTGCTAATATACCTAAAATTATAATTAGGGAGTTATATCAGATAATTAAGGAGATTTTATCTAAAATTACTCTCTGCTATCATTACTCTCTCACTCTCTCTGCAAAACTTCCCTCGCCCCACGTTCATCCTTCTCAACGCAAAGAAACCATCTTCAATGGCCAAGACCAAACTACCAATTTCGACTCCAAAAAAACCGATAAATGGTGCCGACGAAACCCCAAAGAATAGGTCGAGTGCCCGGCTTCGTAAAATTCAGTCAAAGCACAACCCAAATTATTACGAACTTCAACCGAGTTTGCTGGGAATTGAAAAAAAAAAAAAAAACTAGTTTGTTGAAAGGATTTGCGAGACCTAGTAGGATCCACGTTTTTGGTGGGCTAGGGGCGAAAAAAGTAGTTTTTTTGTCTTGATTTTGTGAGAGTGCAGAGTTCTGGTAAGATCTTGGGTTTTATTCCTTTTTGAAAAGAACTTTTTGGGATATTTAATTTCCTTGTTAAGGAATTTAGCCAAGAATTTTAGATATGGGAGGATTGTAAATTTGTGTGAGTTTTTTGACGAGTAGTTGGGAGATTTAATTTGGTTGTACGAGGAGGCGCGCGACGAAGTTGAGGAGGGAGGAATAGGTGGCAGGGTCGGTGGGCGTCCATGGCGGCGGAGGATAACGATTGAAGATAGATTTCCAATTCTCTTTCTCCGTCAGCCATTTTTTTATTTTTCCATTTTCCATTCACAGGGGTTGGAACTGCATATGAATGATCCAGTCCATCCAAAGCCCAAACCAGTATATGTTACACAAAATATACTTTAAATATACACTCGAGTTTCAATCGTTTCTCAAAATATACACAAAATATACTTTAAATATACACTCGAGTTTCAATCGTTTCTCAAAATCGATTTCAGAACCCACATATACATAAAATATACCTAAGATATACACTCGAGATCACGTACATGAGACGAGCAGACACAAAATATACTTTAAATATACACAAAATATACTTTAAATATACACTCGAGTTTCAATCGTTTCTCAAAATCGATTTCAGAACCCACATATACATAAAATATACCTAAGATATACACTCGAGATCACGTACATGAGACGAGCAGATAAGAAGGTCTCTGGCGGTGGTTGAGCAGGTCCAATTGGTCATCTTTTCTTAAATATGGAATATGGAATCAAGATCTTTAACTGATTTTTAGGCAACAATATAATTAATTACTAGCTATTAGGTATATACACAATTAATTGTGTATGAATGGTAATTTTGCAATATTCCTACAATCGTGTAGGATAAGTGAAAATGTCCCTATTTTTTAAAAGGTTGGTCCCACCATATATAGATTAAGCAATAAAATAATAGTACAAAAATATGGAAAAAAAAAAGAAATATTTCCTCACACTCCCACATTGGGCAATAAAATAATAGAAAATAAATATAGGATATGGGAAAATAAATTCCTTCCACCCGTGGTTTTACCTTTACAATGGAAAATTTGGAATTCTTACGTCTTATCTCACATTGTAACCACAAAAAAAAAAAAAAAAATTACTTGACTGGTTGAACCGACCGGTTTTTTTGCCGGTTTTGATCGGTTCAACTGGTTCGACCGGTCATTGATTGGTTTTTGACCGGTTTTATAGACAGCCGGTTTCTTCCATAGAACCGGACCGGTGAACTGGCCGGTTCTCGGTTCAACCGGTCGGACCGGCCGGTCCGGTCTGGTTTTGACAACTATGATTAATAGTGTTCTCATTTTCTCTCCTAGTTAGACGTGGCCACAGGCCACCTGGCCCGCCGGCCTGATCAAACCAGTTGACCCAAGTCCGAGCCTCGCTCGGATTTTAACCGGGTTGGTTCAGGGCCGTCTATGTCGACCCTGCTCGGGCGGGTCTGAGCCGGCACGAAAAAAAGACATGGTTTTCAAATTTTTGTTTCTTTTTTTTTTTTTTTTTTTTGTAT